GGGAACCTGCGACCATGGCAACCTTAACCCCCCAGCACGACAGTACATAACCCTCCCTCCCGGCTGCCTCCGTTTGGTGACGCATACCTCCATCACACAAGAGGCTGTGGTAGGTGACTGTGCCAGCCCTGCCCGCTTCGTAAGGAGAGAGCCCTTGGCCTGTCCATCCCCTCCTCCTACCCCACCACTGTTTCCCCCTCCCCCCAGTTTTTAGCACCTTCATTTACTCCTGCTTTTAAACATGCCCCAATTTCACCCTTACCCTGTGAAAGTGAAAAGACAAAAGTGAAAACCACCTTTTGCTTGCCCTTGCTGTTTCTCTCCTTCCTGAGGGTGGCCCTGAAACATCTCTCTCGGGATCTGGCCTCTTATTCCACACCCATTCCCGCATCGAGGAAATCTGGACTCACTGCTCCCTGCTCTGAGTCAATGAGCTGGTCCTTGTTAAATCCACAAAACTAAGAAACCCACCGCCATGCCCAGACGAATTCTCCTAAAGCAGCGTCGGCACCACGGTACTGCAGTCAGAAGTTATGCCTACTAGAGAACGTCCGAAACCCTGAGCCTGACGTCTGAGACCCTCCATCACCTGGCACAGGCATCCCTCTGTCTAAATCTCTCTGGCTCCCTCGCAGACCATCCGAAGCATGCCAGGATTTGGTCTGCCTAATGCCTTTGTCCATATTGAGGCCATGACATAGTCTCCTCTGGCCTTCTCCGGATCTGAGATTAGAAAGAGGAGAGGCAAGGCCAGCAGGTGGCGTAGTAGTTAAGGCACTGAACTCTCACATGATTGACCATGGTTCAAGTGCTGGACCCAGTGGCTTGGAACTTAGGCTGGGAACATGTGCAAGTATGCCCAAGATCCCAGGTGGAGAATGGAGGAGAAGGGATTGTGGTGTGGCCATCCCCCCGGTGGGTGATTTCTCACTGTCTCTCCAATAAGCACACATGCCCTATTAAAAAACCTTCCCCCACCAGGGAAAAAAAAAAAAAGAAAGAAAAAACAAAGAAAGAAATAGGGAGGTCAGAATAGATTTAGGTTCATTTGGATGGATTTGACATTGGGAGTTTTTAAAGCTGAGTAAAATTTTTTGTCATCAAGCATCTCACACCAGCAAGGTGTGAGACTCTACAAGGGATATAAGGCTTTGTACAGCCTATGAATTCAGAGACATAATCAAACTAGTTGTGTATGTAAAAATAAATTATTTAATACAAAAATGTAATGGAACTTCTTGTTTAATGGGTCCAGAACTTCAGTTTTCAAAATGAAAAAGTCTGGGTGCCAGTAGTTAGCGTAATGGCTATGTCGCTGGACTCCCATGTAGTTGACTGCGGTTCGAGTCCCAGACCCAGTGGCTTAAACTCACGCCAGGCGCGTGTGCATGCATGCCCAAGATCCCGAGAGGAGAATGAAGGAGAAGGGATTGCAGCGTGGCCATCCCCCCTGGGGGGTGACTTCTCATTTTCTGTCTCTCTGTCTCTCTCTGACTTTCTGGCAGGCGCATGCGGCCTATAGCAAAAACCTCTCCAAAAAAAAAAAAAAGAAAGAAAGAAAAAATCTAGAGATGAGTGGCATAATAGTGTAATTACACTTAATACTTCTATGCACTTAAAAAATGGCTAAGGTGGCACATTTTATATGCGTTTTGTCACAATTAAAAATAACAATCAGGGCTGGCTCAGTGACCACAGTAACATGCAGCTGGAGGGCTGCAGATCTGGTTCCCCAGAGGACCTGTGTGTGCTGGACACACGTGCCCGTGATCCTAGCTGGGAAGGCTGGGGGTGGGGGTCATGGGATAAGACCCTGTTGAGGGTGTCTGTCTTTCTCTCTCAGAAGAAATACACTTTTAAAAATGAAAAA